CAGCTGGGCTTGTACATTTCTGACATTTTTGTGTCCCTACCACATAAGGTCACTTTAAGGCTAGTAGGCTGAAAAAATACTGTTGCCTTTTTTGTTACATGCTTACATCTACTGTTGGCTACATCTCCTCCTCACTGTCCTTTTCTATTTACAATGCAATGACATGATGACATATAATAGGCTGCGCAGCTACTTTAACCATACAAACTGATGCTGAATTGAAGAAAATTGAGTCCACTCAAAAGATGACTGGTATCCTTGGTAACTAAGACTATTAAACACTTTTTCTCTAAAAGGTCAGGAGTGAAATGCAAAGATGCAGAGGAAAAGATTCCTCTTGCACATCCGAGACTTCCTCTGAGCCTATTTAGTTTTCAAGGTGTCTTTACAGAGAGAGTGAGCGCTGCGTGGCAGAACCAAAGGGAAGGTGACAAAGATGGAGGGGCTCTTCACACTGACTTCCACTCATCATCGTGACAGGAAAAAAGGGAACATAGAAAGCAGCAGCTCTATAAATATTTGAGTGATACTTTTGGTGCCTCACTTAATGAGTTTGCAGATTTGGTAGTTTAAAACATATGCTGCCGACAACAGAGAGTGTGCATTTAGGCAGGCCGGAACAACAGCTCATGCCACGTCGCACAGATTTGTGAGATTCTTTGTAAGCATTGTTTGTGGAAAGATACGTGTACAAATTTTGTTTTCTTCAAATAAGAGCCTTTGGTGCCTTTGTAGCTGCATTACAAATCTGGTCACCATGGCTGCCACCATGAAAAGTCAGTTTAATATTTGAGAAGGGCTACTAAATGACATAATGCACACCGAGCGCACAAAAAAATCTTTTCAGAGTCAAAGTAATAGGTATGAAGAGGTAGACTGACTCACTAATGGAGGCACAGGACCCTCTCACTGCCTAATGAAAAGCATTCAGCCTAAATTTCTAAATTTTGTTTGAGCTACATATGCAGCATCACAGTGAAAACAGGCTGTGAAAAGAGAAGTGACAAAAAGCTGTTGTCCACCGAGACCGTCCTAAAAGAGCTGTCTAGAAAAGTTAAACAACATTATTGAAAAGCTTCAGTAAATTTTGCGCCAAACTCAGTATTTTACTGTATGTGTAATCTATTCAAAGGGCTTCTGTTAAAGATTTGTAATAAAAGATTTTGGTTATGTTGATGTATTAGTACATGATCTATAGTTCTCAGGTAAGCTGAGCTCAAGGCAGAAATGTAAATAAATACACTGGACAAGCACAAAGTCCAACAGTTTTCAATTTGCCAGCATGTCAGCAACATCATACATCCGGTGGTCCTGTTTACTTATAATGAGGTCAGAGAGGATGGCAGAAGGTACAAATCCACAGAGCTTTGTGATGCTCTTAACAATCCTGTGCAAGAGATTACTGTTTTGAGAAGTGTCCAACACAATGTTATCAACAGTCAAAATGCCCCGATTTTCTGATATCTGAATGTTTTGAGGTATGGGACACTTGTCATTTAAGTAAACCAAAAGAAAAAAATTATCTATTTTCTCTGAATATGCTAAAAAAAATCTCTTTGAAACTATTCAAGTCAATCACCTGTAATGAGACGATTATGTTTTTCTTTTTTTGGATAATTTTACGTATGGAACAGTAGACACTTTTATTTCTGTTGTGCCGAATTGGATCTTCAGTCTTCTTTCCTGAAAGAGAGACATTCAAAGGCAATCCTTGTTTGACATGAAAGAGGAAACAGAGGAAACAAAGAAGTAATTTTGATTGAATGGAAGCACATTTTAGAGCTGGGCGAGTGTAATGAAGCATTTTAAAGTGTAGCCATAAGCACGGATGTGTCATAAGTGCACACGATGATACTATGTCTCATCTTATAAAAGCTAGATGTCTCTATTATAGTGAAAGCAATTTTCCAACCAAACTGAGCGCCGGACAGCGATCAGTGAGCTGACTCAGGTCACTGCTGACACTGACGTCGACACCGTTACAGGCTGACCAATACGCTGTGGGTCAGAGATTGATAGCTGTACGAGGACTTCCAAAGTATAGCTCGATAACCAGAGGAGTAGACATAAGCGCTCTCAGGTTGCAATCATCAGAGAAAGAGGTCAAAACACCAGTGAGAAAACAAGGCCATTATGTTATCAAGATGTGATGGGACCGGAGGGCATTGCATCAAAGAAAAAAGCCTTTAACTACGCATAAAGCACTCAGCTTTACAATGCACGTTGGATGTCAGCGGCGTGTTACAGCGTGTGACACGGCAGCTTGAAAGGCACGGCGAGCAGAACAACAAAAATACAAAATGGTCGCACCAGAAGAAAGAATCAGAGCAAAGACAGTCAAAATCTATCATCACAGAGGAAACACCTTTGTAGCCTAAAAAGTTGTTTGAATAGATATTAAGAGACAAATAGAGCTATTTCAAATCCATCCATCCAACTGCTCATTCACAACTGGGTGGTGTGTGTGTGTGTGTTCCCACTTTGTGCACTGTTTCTCTAATTTGTCTCAGTTAGTTGTGATGGCAGGCTTCACAAACTGGTTCCTAAAAGAGTCACAGTTTTAAATAAGACTGTGATACATTTGATTTTCATCTGTACTGCAAATTAAAACAGGCTGGAGAATTTCCCTATTCTCCAGCCTGTTTCCCCCCACAGTGTAGAGGCTGTAG